TTCAGTTCACTGTGGAATGAGCTTTCTTAAATGTCTGGGGAAAGACGGGTAAAATTAGGATAATTGGCCAGAAGAAGGGGAGGATGGATGAAGAAGGATTAAACAAGGTGCTGTTGAACAAGGAGAGGAGAAGAAAAGGAAGGGGAGAAGGACAGTAGGAAGGTCAATTCCATGTGCTCTGATTTTTTTCAAAAAAGAAAAAATATTTGTTCTTCTTTAGTTTCCTTTCAAGGTCGGAGCTCCAGTTTCAACTGATCGCTCTGTAGAGCTGATAGGGATTTGACATCCAGTTCATATCTACTCCAGTAGTATGGATGCTTGCTAAAATGTATATTTAAAGGGGCTCTCCATCAATACTGGGTATAAAGGTCAGTTTAGTAGTCACAGGACCTGTGAAAACAGTTGTTTTGGTGAGCTTTCTCAAGTCTGAGAAAATAACCTTATGGTGATGGATTGATTTATTATTATAAACTCAGGGTGTTCTCTTTGAAAGGTGCGACCCCTTTTTCCCTAAGCATCGTAAGGCTATGACAAGTTACTTCAGGTGTACTGCACGTCATGCTCACCACCACAGGCAGCTCGCATTACGAACCTCTCAATGGCACGTGTGTGCTTTGGAAAACCTGTGTAGAAATTTAATAAAGTTAGCTTTCAAGAACAGATGTACTGGGTGTTTATTAGGCAGGGAGGGACTAAAACAAGATTGTATTGAGTTGCTTGTAAAGTGTGGGAAATTTCCAGTGTTTTTGGAACATATCCATAATAGTAACACTGTATCTTGACCTGCTTTAACTTTGACTCTAATTGTATTAATCTGTCTCTTGTGAGTTTGCTAGATTTCAGGCGTTCCCTTTAAAAAAAAATCACATCCTTCAAGTTAAGACTGTTTGTTAACCAATACAAAAATGAGAATTAAAATTGGTGTGCACTGTAAATGGCTTAAAGTATGGATTGCTGTGGAAAGTAATTCCTACAGAAAAAAAATCTTTCCTGCACTACATGTGCAACGGGTTTTATGAAGAGCATCAGCAGTAGTGAGGCTCTGGAGAGAAAAGGCAAATAAATGTGTGTCTGCATGCAAGTATTTTAATGTCAGTATTCTATTATCTCTCTTTAATGCAATTTATTCAGTGTCATATTGGGATCACACATATATAACATACCAATGCATATGCAGCACTGTGAATCTATGTTCACACACTGTCTGGATTCCTATTTCATACTGCAGGGATGAATTATTTTCTCGCTCTGTGCAGCCAGTTAAAGCTTCTATCATTTATCCTTTTGCCAGTGGAGCCTACAAGCCTTGGTTTTCCCTCTCTCACTCTGTCTGCAGCTCTATCTTTTGTTAGTCATGTGTGTGCAGAAGTCAAAGGCAAAGTGAACAGTGTGTGTGTAAGAAAGAGACATAAGCTTAGCAGGGACATTTTTTCCTTAGCCCTCCTCTGACTTGCAACGCAGCACAGTCAGAACCAAGACGCAGACAGCTGAGCATGTGTGTGTGTGGGTTTTTCTGGATGTGTATATGACTGTGTGTGGTCCCCTTCCCTGGCTGCTCATTATAAATTTCAAACAGGTGCTGCCACCTAACTGTGCCAACGCCTGTGCAATTACTGGCCTGCCCTATGTGTGTATGTGTGTATGCACTCACTCTACATAGCAAACCACTTAGTAATTTGCTTCAGGACAAATTTCTGTGCTTCATACAACAGTTTTATTGAAATTGAGTGTTCGCTAAACCCCAACCTCCTCAGTTACTGTTCCTCTGCCTGTCAATCTTTTCATTCTGGCACAACACACTATGCAGTTTGCAGTGATGACAGATCCAGATTGACCATTAAAATTCTTTGTGATGTATTTGAAACAATAGGTTCCTGATTTCAGACAGAAATAGACAAAATCAGG